AACCTGCAAAGGCAGGGTGTGATTAGAAAAAGCATTTCACTGTTAAGTTGGGATATTTTGGGCTAAGATTATGCAGTTACAAAATGTGCTTGTAGAAGGAACCTTATGTGTGAATTGATTTTCTCTTGGTTGCTTCTCTGCAGTTGGATAAATTATTAGTCAACAACACCAAAATGTGCATATATCTTTCCTTAATTTGTTTTAATCATAATTGTCATTGTGATTAAGCATGTATGATACATGTATGTTTTTTATATAAACACACAACACACACATATATGTTCTGATACAAGTTCAGGTTCATGATGTCTGAAAAATGAATCATACAAAGAACCTTTAGAAGACACAAAGCCCAACTTTCTTATTTTGACAAAGGAGGAAATGGAGCTTCAGAGAGATTAATTATTTCACTCAACATAACCAGCCAGTGACTAAGGAAGAACTAGAACTCTGGCCTTCCGACAGTAACCCAAGCCAGTGTTCATTATATTTGGGTTGTTCTTATCTTCTGAAGTCAGCCACAGTTAGCAGTGAGCCTCTGCTAATACTGAGCACTGTGAATAATGAGGCCTGGTGCCTGCCCCAGAGGAGCTGGGGCTTCACAAGCGAGTCAGTCATGAAAACAAAATCAGTTTGTTACTGAGTCCCTTGTGGTGCATATATTTAAATAATTCTGGAACAACATTGTATCTCCACCAACATTTTCTTTGTTACAAGGCTGAGCATCCCTAATCTGAAATCCAAAATAAAAAATGCTTGAAAGTCTGAGTGCTGATATGACATCATACTGGAAAATTCTAGCTTCTATGATGGATCAAAGTAAAAACTCAGTCTAAAATTACCTGCAAACTATGAATATAAGGTGTAAGAAACATAAGTGAATTTCATGTTTAGACTTGGGTCTTGTTCCCAAGACATCTCATTATGTACATGCAAATATTCCAAAATAAAAAATCTGAAATCCTTGCATAAGGCATATATAACTAATATAAATTGTTGCTGTTTTGTTAGTCTGTACTTTTGTGTTTTGGATTTAACACAAATAGTGTACTGAATCACTCTTCTAGAATCAGTAAAGATAAGGCAGGAGGAAAAATTGTGCAAATTCAAGTTAGCAACAAGGGTAATTTAGAGTGTTAAAATTTCAAATGCCATATATTTATTTTATTTTATTTTATCATCACCAAGAAAGAGAAAGAGAATGGGGTGAAAGAACTATCTGAGCATCGTGCATATTTAGTCGAAAAGAGTAATCATGTTATAACACAGGAAGATTTTTATTTCCAGCATTGTCATTACAGTTGAAAAGGTTGTACTGTTTTATATTCAACCTCAATTCTGGTCGAAAGGACAATTTATTCCTCTTCAAATATTTCTGAAGGTTTTCAAGATAGATTTGAAATATGCAGCTTTTAAATTATGGAGTTTTCCCTATAATCTTAAAAGTAAATAAAGGATCAATATTCACTGTCCCAATGCCAGGAGAAGGTTAGAATAATTACTCGGACAGATTCCTCCACAACTCTTTTAGTGCATATATTGGGAAGTAAGATTTCAAATACAGATTCAGCATAAATCCAGATGAAACCTTTATAAAAGCCACTGTTGTTTCCAGATGTGTTTTAGGAATTACTCCACTGGCCACTGGCGTGTAGCCCTGTAAGAATAACAATAGGTACTGCTTAGTGACAGATATCTTGTTTCCTAATTCAAAAGCTCTGAACACCAATGATAAAAATGATGTTATTTTCAGTTGCCTTTAAGAAACTGAAAATAATTTATAACCGAAAAGCTGGCCTTTGATTATTAGTTGAGATTTTATTAGGAAATCTGACTGCCCTGAAGGACAGTCTACTGGGAGACTGGGTCTGAAATTCTGTACCCATCCAGAACTGAGAAAAAAACAAATTTTTCAAATAACAGGTGGAAAATCTTGGATACAAGGCATTCACACTTCACCATTTCACCTACATGATTGACTAAGTCACTTGGCAACTCCCAGACACAGGCAGTACCGGGGACATGGTGGCGATCCGGACACACACAGCCCAACCTGCTGTAAGCAAGTGAGGGGAGACAGGATTCCATGAGTGACAACTTTGGTATAGTAAGTCTCATGAGAGGGCTGAGATTCTCCACATGACTTCTAATATGCTTCAATCACATCGGGATAATTAAGTCTGAATTTCTGGGGCTTTGTAGTGTCATAGAAACTCTGCAGGCAAAACTAATACGGAAGCAAAGTGGAGAGCTCCCACGTGGGAGGATACAGGATGCTATGGAAACACATGGTAAGGCAATGGCTCTCAAACGGCTCTCAAACCGTGGCAGGCATCAGAGTCACCTCTAGACTTTTAAAGCACAGAATGCTATGCTGCATCGTCAGGGTTCCTGATACATAGGTCTAGGGGAGTGGGACGTTAGAATGTGCATTTCTAACAAATGCCTAGCAGATGTTAATGTTGCTGGTCCTGGTATGATATGATGAGAACCGCTGTGATAGCAATAATTATCCTCACTTGTGGAGCTGAAGTAGGATTCCCAGAGTGGGCTGCTAAGGCTGAATCAGAGTTAGGGAGGTATGTGAGAAAAGTTGAGTGTTTGTGTATGTGGTGGTTTCCGACAAGAAAAGGCAGGAGGAAATGTTTCACATAAAGGGAAAGCTGACCATAGGTCTGGGAATGGATTTGAGAGGAGCACAGTGCAGTTCAATCTAACCACTGACAGCTAAGTTCTGGGGGCAGCACAGCCCCACCAAAGAGTGTTGGTTATAAATTGAGAGCATTGGCTAAATGGGAATAGAATTTGATCACATTCATGGTTTTGTAAATTTGGTGCGATGACATTACTGAGCACGAGTTGGACATAACTGGAAAAAGTTTAAGTAGGAAGCTTTTGCAGCTTTCAAGCAAAAAACTAAAACGATAGTTTGCAAATAGATATTGGAGCTGGGAAGGAGATGAATGGACAGACTCCAGGAGCAAATGAGACAGAACAAATAGGATTTGGTGATCGAATTATGAGAGGAGAGGAAGATCAGGAATGAAGGTCGGATGTGGATCTGGCTGCTAGATGTTACTGATGACTTTCCACAGTGTCAGGAGCAGGAGATAGGTCAGCTATAAGTTTAGACATATGGAGGCTGGGGCCCTGAGGTCGGGGATCTTCAAACAGAGGCACTGAAGAGGTGGGCAGCTGCATGGGCTGGAGTGCATTATGAGCTGGAGGTAAGTGTGGGAGGTCATCAACATAGGAAGGGCAGCTAGAGACCTAAGTATAAGCAGGGGATAGAGAAGGAACAGGGAAACAAAAATAGAAGGACCGTGGAGGTTTGGGATTCTGGAGAGATTTATGTGGCTGAAGTAGAGAGAGCTATGTTCACTGTAGGATAAAGGATCACAACTCACATGTCTTCGAAGTGCGGCTGACTAAATATGTATAAAAGGGGTTTTCTTATGGGACTCCTGTGAGGGTCTGCCTATGGGTGAGTTGAGACCGTTTCTCCTTGTTACTTCGGAGAGAGGCCACCTTCAACCTTCTGTGCTCCTCCTGTAGCTCCAGAAGAGGAGCTCGGCAGTCTACTGCAGCCAGGCTAGGTCAGGGTGAATACTGGGAGAGGGAAGGGGCTACATCACCGCGGGGCAAATTCATGGTTCTCAAATGTTGAGTTCTAAATTAGTCATCCAAAAATATTAAGCGGCCATTAGGTCTGCTCTGGGTTGCTGGGAAAACACTCGGGCCCTAACACATGACTGCAGAGTTTACGGCACACACTTTGTTACCTGGCTTGGGCCAGTGCCTTTACCCAACGCGGAGGAACATGGATTTAGAATTTAGCAACAATCATCAAACCTAAAACAGGCAACAAAGAAACAAAAATGAAAACCCTCAGCAAACGTGTTTGAGAGGTAATATGACATTTTAAATTCAAGGATTTCTGGAACAATGCATCGTGTAGTTGCAAACAATGTAGTTTGATATAAATGATACAGTGTGCAAATGAGTTAATATTGAATAAAGAAAAGCAAAACAAAACCCCCACCGTACCCTTTTTTCATCATTTAGACTTAGCAGTGCTTTTACTCTTTCAGCTTAAAAGGACAGCAGGATCTCCAACTCTGTCTTAAGATCTTCTTTCTCACCCCTCCGGTAAACTACATTAACCTTAACCATGGTGCATGTGGTGGACCACACGATTCCTGTTACTCTCCCGGCCTGTTCTGCTTCCAAGAGACATTACAAACTTACAATGTTACCATTTGAAAACGTTCTCCTTTCAAATTCACCAGTTTCTAGGGGTGTGTGGAAACACTCCTCACTGTTCTACCAGGTATGAGTTAGGCTACTGGCTGCAGCTCATAGAGCCTGACAGGAAACAAAATCACAGAACCGGGTGCCCTCAGAAGCAATGATCAGCAACATTTTATAGCCACTGTGCTGCCTATTTTTGCTTCTGTTTTAAATAATCTATCCATTTTAAATGTAAGAATATAACTGGATACATCTTTCTTTGCAGACTTGACATCATCCTTTACAATCAAACTGGGCATACTAAAATTTTAAACCATAGTGTTAACCAATCTATCAAGTTAAGTGGTACTAAGAAGCTATAGCACATTCTCTACTAGACTATCATCTTCATGCATTAAAAGAAGTAGCAAGTAGGGTGAATGTAATAAAATTTAAACACCTTCCATTTTTACAAATGTTTGCCTTTTTACAGCAGGTGGACCCTGGTCCTTATTTAGCTCCTGAAAAGCCTGAGGTGGTGGTGGAGCCTTCCGTGTGTTTCTCCCTGTGAAGTTTTATATGGACTTGATACATCTCACATCTTGCCATGGACCCCTGTGGTAGTCAGAGTTAATCAAGAGCATAACTGAGAAAGAATCAACTGCAAGCACTAGCTTTTGTTCAGGTATCACATATATGAACCCAAATTGGGGAAGTAGATGCTGCTGCTGTTACAACCCAAGACAGGAAGGGAAGAAAGACACTCTTACCATTGTCATTGCCTTGCTTGATTTCCTCTGCTGTCCGATCTATCAACACATACAAAGACCAAACCACACAGGTAATGGCGATGACATGGAATGTGACAGAGCAGAAGATTTTCCTCCTTTCACTTGTGGTCATCTGTAGTTTTTCCCACTGTAATCAGAAATGAGCCAGTCAAAACTGAATTGGTAACTAGAAATTTTTCCTTGGATTTTACTTCCCAAACAGGTTACAAATGGAAGGAGAGCATTGTGGTTTGGCAACTTTGGATGAAGCTGTAGTATTCAAATCAATCTTTATGGTTGAAAAGATACGAAGTCATAACCTATACACTTAAATTAAGACAAAAATAATTTCCTATTCTCCAAAAGAATGAAATCAAGCCATTTCTGTTTTGCCAGTCTTTGTCTGCTTCTGTATCATGAGTGAGGTAGTTTCAACGTTTTACAATTTTTAGAAAATGTTTCCTTTTTCAGTTTCTGCCTATCATTTCTTTGTGTTATCAGTGATGATGGGTAACATCTGCTTCTTGGATTATCACATAATAATGACAGTGTTGTGTTCTTCAATATGTGAGTTTAGCAAGTGTTTCAGTTGGTCAATATCTCCAAGGGAAAGTCAACATTTTCTGTTCACAACTCTTAGAAAAACAAATTTTAAAATCTGGACAATGGAAGAAAACTGTCAGAGCCTCTTTCATAATGGCCTTGGTTTGTTGCTTCAGAGAGTTCCAATGCTCAGACATTGTCTCTACCACACCCCTCAGAAAGCCGAGGGCTGCTTTCTGCTTTCGCCAAGTGGGAGAGAAAGAAGGCTGTGAGTTTGTGGATATAAGGTTTATATGCGGGAATGCTTTCCATACTTCAAATGAATAGACCTCAAAATAAATTTCAAAGTCTTGACAGGTACTGTGCATTTCATTTCCACATTAGGAATTATGTCTTTATTTTTCTTTGGCTCACTGTATTTCCACAGAAAAATCATATCTCATGATTTTATTAGAGATGAGCAGATATACCAAACTTTTAATGGTCCATGATTCTTCATATTACTGTGCTCTTGCTAAAGTAAAATCTTAAGAACTTGGTAAGACTACTTCTTTCCCATCTCAGAAGCACACACATAAAATTTAGTACACAACTCAACTAAAAGCAAGAGGGTATACACTATGGTGCGTAAGGTCCTTGATCCCCCTCCAGTTTGACATAAGGCTGGCCAGGCTTCCTCTCTCTTGGCTCCAGTTGCCTCCTCTTTATGAGAAGCAGATTATGGCAGAGGCAGTGACAGAGAGACCAAGGGACAGAGAACCATTTTTCACTTCCTTTATTAACAAGCTAATTCTTTTAGGGTTGACACTGTGCCTAACTAAAAGCTACCTTTAGCCAGCCTTTTCAGGAGTGAATGAACATTGATTACTTTCCACCAATGAAATGTCTGCAGATATGCACTGGGACATCAAAGAATTGCCCTGTTTTCCTTTCCTTTATTTTTTCTTCATTGTTACCAGAAAGTCATAACAAACAGATCAAGTATCAACAGTCATGTTGCAACCTCAGAGGAAAAGCCTTCTCAATTGGAAGAATCTCAGGCCAGTTAGCAATAAGTAGTCTTTGGCCTTCCAGCTGAATGTAAGGAAGATAAGGTTTATCTCATTAAGCAGTGATTTCCCAGGTCTTTGCTATTTGATGACAAATGCAATTCCTAGTTAAAAAAATAAAAAAGATACTTTCTAGCCTCCCTCCCTGCCTGAGGGTTAAGATCCTATAATTTGATGTGCAGAATACAATACTTATAGTCCAAGCTTGATAATCCAGAGAGCTTTTTAAACTTTTGAGAATAAAAAGTTTTATTTATAAACATTACCCTTCCTTTCCTCTTATTGGCAAACCATCACATAACTTGCCTTATAAAGATCTATTTGAGCTAACTAACAATTTATACTTTTTCCTCTACTGTTCATTTTTTCTCATTAAATAATGTCATATATCATATTCCAAGTATAATATGGAGAAATTTTAATAATGTGGCTGGGAATGCACGGCTATTTCATTCTAGACTTTATTTTGAATTAATCAACCTTGACTTGAAAAGATTTTAATGTTACTCTGACATTTATCAGAAGTTCACATCTCATCTGTGAAAGATTGATTTTTAACATTTTAATTTTAATCTGATTTATTGGAATGTTAATCTGAATAATCTGTTTAATTATAGAATATAATTTGGCAATAGCACTTTGGGGTTTAATAAATACCCCTCGAATCACTTCAATATTTAGTTTGCCCAAAGAAAAAGTGCAAAATGGTACAGAAGAGCAGCTTTACATGTTCAGATTCTCAAAATGTTCCAGTGTATGAGAAGACCTTCAGTACCCAAATAGTCATACCAGATAACTCTCAATTGTAAAACTGGCTTTAAAATCTCCTTAAAAAATGAGACTTCCTTTATTTAAGGAGAAATTTGATGAAATGACTGGGATTTTAACTAAAACTTAATGAGCCTCCAGTAGAAAAATATCAGTGGAGCGGACAGGGATGGACAAAATAATTTGTAAAGATTCCTTCTAGTTCCAGACAATAGAAGTTCCAAGTTATCACTTCTAACTGACATTACAAGTGATATATTAAGGGAGAAATGAAGTGTAAGGGGATCATCAACCTTTTCAATTTATAAAGCCTTACAGGAACCATTGAGAAATTCACTGGACAGCAGGTAAGCAAATGTGGTGCCACAGCACCCTCTTCCTGGGAATCATGTTAATGCATCTAACATTCAGTAGGTGGCACCAGGGGTATCAAAGTACATATAAGCTAACTGTTCATTCATACTGTTTGTTCAGGTTGTATGCAAAGTTTCAATACACTTTGCAAACATTTTGCCAAGTCTCAATACATTTTCACAGTGAAAAAGAGATGGAGAAGGAAAGGCTAAAGACCTTATTTTAACAAAATTGCCATGAAAGTGCTGTGATTTAATATTTCTGATGTTGAAATTCAGTTTGCAAAAGTTGTGATGGGAAAGTGATAATCCATGAAAATTCACATAACATTTGGCTCCCTTGCTTGGGTCGATAAAGCAATGCATGATTCGTGCCGGGCATACCAGGTGTGCAATGTCATCATTGTTACACCTTTCCGGGGTTCCAGAAGAACCTCTTGGGGTTCTCAAAGTCTGTTGTTCTAATCCACAACAGCAACATGGAACATTTGTTAGAGATGCAAATTCTTGATCTCCACTTCTGAGATGACAATATTTGCTTTTCCCACAGGCCACTCAGAAAATACAAACTTCACCTCTTCATTGGTGAAGTGCAGCCTCTGACAATGGAATCAGCTCACCTTTGCCTTGCCACTAGTGGAGGACCAAGCAGAGGCAGCTGCTTTTCCTCTAGATCTACACCACATATTCAGTCTCACGTCTCTCACTTTTAAGGAGACACATCTTTGAGTGGTCACAGGAAGTTGGTGGAAATGTTCAGAAAGTGGCTCCTTTTCCCTTCCTCAAGGGTCAAAAGAATGGACCACAGCACGCCATTCACCTCTTTATAACTCTTTATAACTCACTCTTTCTAACCCTGTCAACTGTCTGATCTGTCCTTCAGCAATCTTCAAGCTCTCTGTCATACTTTGAAAATGGGGCATCAGCTAAGGTTGGAGAAACCAGTTTCACAAAATCTTACCACCCCTACATAACTTGCTGTAGGCTTGATAGTCCTTGGGTTTTGACTTTTTTTTTTTGGTACCGAGGATCAAACTTGGAACCTTGCACTTGCGAGGCAGGCACTGGAAAGTCCCTGGGTTTTGGGCACTTGTGTTATCATTCTTGGCCCTTTGTCTTTACAAATGCTCCTGAAGTAGTAATGGCAAAACTTTTAGAGATCCAGTGCCAAATTGCAACCCAAAACCCACTTAGTTACTGCAAAGTTCCAACATTACAATTAAACCTGAATACTGAAGTTTTAGTTTAGAAAAAAAACCCCACAACTCTAAATTAACATCTTTTGTCTTAAAAGAAAAACACAGTAACATTTGAGCCATAGGTTCCCTACCACTAAAGAACAGAAAGAATTGAATAGAACTCTATTATTTATTCAGAAATATACACCAGATTTTTCTGAACAGATTTCTGAATTATAGTACAAATTGATGCAAATATTGTTTCTGCAAAATTTTCCATTTGCTCTAACCAAACCAAACTTTGCATTACAGTGTCAGGTTTTTAAATTTAAATTACTTGCATTTGTATTCTGCCTTAAAATATAAATTCGAAAGCACTGTCTAATGAAAATGTTTTAAAAATATATTTGTATTCTGCCTCAAATATAAATTCAAAAGCTCTGTATAATGAAAATGTTTTAAAAATATTTGTGGAACGAAGACAGTTTATTTTCACAATATTAAAATACGTGAGAGAGGCAAAGGCACTGTTTTTTTTCCTCCACACTGTTCCATTACATTTGCTAGCTTTCCAACAGCGTCAGGGAAATCTGCAGACTGACAGAGCAAATACCTACCACTTGGTGGCGCCAGGTTCCAACAGTAGCTGGTTCTGTTTTTCCTGTAGCGCCCGGCCCAGGAGCTTCAGGCCCGCCAGCAGTACAGGGTCTGCCTTTCATTTCATCGGTCCAGTATAAACGCGAGGCTACATTTTAATGGTTTAAATTTTGTTCTGACACACCTTTTCATATTATGGTGGAGGTTTGCCACATTTGAGCAGAAAATACCTACAACAGCAGTCTAAAATGGATTGCCTTATCTATACACTTTACTAAGATATGTTGTGCTAGAAGACAGTAAGCAAACTCTTCAAAAGTTCTGGAAATTGCCACATTAGGAAAGTTGCTAGAGGATCCATTCCTATGGAGCAGTAGTTCTCAAAGAGTGTTTCCGAATGTCAGCCTGGGAACTTGTTAAGAAATTCCAATATTTCTGTTCCTAGACATGGATGCTCTGAAACCCCGAGAAAAACCAGTGTTTTGTTTCAGATAAGGAAATACCCACTCGACATCCTATGCAGGCGTTCAGGACCAGCCAATGCTGCAAAACCAGGATGCAGGATGGAGCCAGAAAAAATTGATCTCAGATATAGAGGATGCCATGTTGGCCTGACTTTACCCCGGACATTCCCACCTCAGGGCCGTCTTGGTCTGACCTGCTTCTGACTCAGACAGAACCAGCCCAAATACGGAGAAAAAGAAGGTGGAATCCATTTCCAAGAAATGCCCACCCCTTTTATGAATAATCCTCTCTTTTTTCTTTAAGACCTCCTTTTCCACAGAACAACCCCTTAATAGAACCCTCAGCCTTTATTGTATTTGGAAGCTGTCTTTGGTTGTGCTTCCCTCTTCTCCTAGTCTTTGGCCAAGAAAAAAATTTTGATGGCTGCTCTATTGGTACTAGGTTTTGTCCTAGGGCTTGCAATTCTAGATGGAAAAGGACTCAATCTTGGGGAAAATTCAGTAACATTTTGGACCTCATCAAATTTACTGAATGGAAAACTCTGATGTTAGGGCCCCTGTAATCTGCATTTTAACAAAGCTCCTGGATTATTCTTCTGCATGCTAAAGCTTGAGAACCATCTAGCTTAAAAAAATCACAAAATCAGTGAATTTTAATCACTAAAACTAACTCCCTTTTAAATTTACTTTTCACATTAGTGTGTAGGTAACATGAATACTTATTAAGATCTAGCTGCTCTAATTTGCATCTCTCGAATGACCAGTGATGTTGAATATTTTTTCATATATTTATTTACTTTTTCTATTTCTTCATCTGAGAGGTGTCTCTTCATTTCATTCATGCCCATTTTTGGATTGAGTATTTAAATTTGGGAGATCTGACACTTTTGAGCTCTTTGTATGTTCTAGATAGTAGTCCTTTGTTTAAGGAGCAGCTGGCCAATTTTTTTTTATCACACTGTGGGTTGTTTCTTCACTCTATTAGTGATTTTTCTTGCTGTGCAAAAGCTTTTTAATAAGATGAGATCCTAGTTGTTGATTCTCTGTGATAGTTCCTGTGTGATTGGGGTTTTGTTCATAAAGTCTTGGCCTACACCAGTTCAAGAGTTCTACCTAACCTATCTTCCAGTAGATTAATGCCAAGATTCCACCTCACTCTAGAAAGAATGGCTATTATTAAGAAATCAACCAATTACAAATGTTGGCAGAGCTGTGGTGAAAAAACAGCCCTTCTCCACTGTCTACACTCCACAGAGTGTAGACTGGTGCAACCACTGTGGAAATCAGTGGGGAGATTCCTCAAAGAACTAAAACTAGAGGTTCTATTTGACCCAGCTATCCCCCTTCTTGGGATCTTCCCAGAAGAATTAAAAGCATCATACCATAGCAATATATGCACAACCAAGTTTATATCAGCACAGTTTGTAATACCCCAGTCTTGGAAATAGCCCATATGCCCATCAACCAATGAATGGATAAAGAATATGTAGTTTTTCTATACAATGGAGTGTTACCCATAAAAAAGATAAACGAGATATTTATTGCTAAATGGATGCACCTTGAAACCATACTCTCAAATGAAATAAATTGAACACACACGTGTAAATACTGCATTGTTTCTCTGGTGTGAGAAATTGAAAGTGTAAATGAGGGCCAAAATGTATAATAGATATTGTGAAATAGGAAGAAAATGTTCAAAGGGGAAGTGGGCAGGGGAAGGAAGGAAGGGAAAGGAAAAAGAAAAAATGAAAACAAAGCTTTTGCAAATAAAGAAGGGAAGAGAGGTTGAAGGGAGGGTAGGGGAATGGAAAAAAAAGAATCAAGATGCATCATATACAGGTACAAATTCTCTATGATGAATATGATCATTATGTATATCTAAAATGTACCAATAAACTTAATTAAATAAAAAATCTAATGTAATAGTTACAATTTCAAGTACTTTGGGAGACAACAAAAGCACAGATTCTGAATGTTTATAAGAATAACTCGAGATGTTAATGAATTGCCAAATTCATAGATATACCCAGGGTAAATAATTTCCTGCTTACAAATGTATTTAAGAACAGCAGAAGAATATATGACCTAGAATAGATCTTTAGTGAAATGGCTACAAACTTGTGAGATGCAGACATTGGGCAGCTGGTTTAATTTGCTGATTAGTTGAGACACTTGCTATTAAACAGAAAGTGAACATGAAACAAACTTGTCTCTAACAGAGTTACAAATATCTCTGGATCTGGATTACTTGTTTCTTACTGAAGGTCAAAACCTCAGGTGTTCTATCCCTGAATGAACAATTCGTGAGTGTTCTGTAACTTCCTGGAATATCTCACCCAGTTCTCCTCCAGTTTGGGTCCACCACTGATGATTATTTGGCATCTTTTGTGCATGGTCTAATGAGAAGGGACATTTTAAATCTCTATCCTTCCATTTCGTTATATGTAAGTGGGGATAAAAATAGCACCTATGTTTTAGTGTAAAGCTTAGGTGATTTAATGCATCACATCCAACTAGGCTTTGGTTGACCTTACCTTTCAGTGTACTGCAGCATGTTTGGAACATCTCTGAGGGATGGAAATAGGATTTGTTCATGCAGAATTAAGTCAACCAATGCTCCCTTCCCTATTTATTGCATTTTTAAATGACAAATAGGTTTTCTTTGGTGAATATTGAATCTCACAACAGGATAATATGTTCCATTTTTGTTAACTCTGGGAGTAAAGATAAGAAGGGTAAGTGGGTGAATTACTTTACATGTACTAGGTAGAATGATTGAAAACACTGCACAAGGATGGCTTCTTTTTTGTAAGGAAAGAAAAATATATCATGAGCTATAGTAAATGCCACAGGAACCTCTTATTCTTTTTGTGTAATTCAAAATGTTAAGATTCATATGTCCCAAAGAAATACTGCTCTGGGTGACAGATTTTACAAAAGATTAAAAACTGAATAAACTGGCAGCATTAGTGTGGGAGTGTGTTATAGTGTGTCTTACATGAGATGTAGAAGATAATAGCAGACTCACTGGTACCAAAACAGGCCCAGGGATGCTATCCTGACTAGCTTAGCTCTTGCAAAACCATAAAGGTATCTGAGAATGGATATGTGAAAGAAAGGGCTCTTTCTCTCAAAAGGTGATTGGCCCTCTACTCAAGAGTGTGCTTAATGTTTACCTTTCAGAAATGTTTGAAGCTGTTATAAAAGTACTTTACAGAGAAGAGGTCACATTACTTTACAGTACTTACAATAGTGTTGAACTTGGAACAGCCCAATTGAACAGAGAAGGAGAGTTATGATCACAGGACAAATACAACTTATAACAAAAATCTCAGCATTATTGAAATGCCCTTTTCAAGATAGGAAAATATCCACTCAGTTAAATCAATCACAGCGACAGCTTATCGATATGCTTGTCACGCTGATTGACAGTGTGGGGAATGCATTGCTAAGAGCTGTGACTCAGTAGCTGTGTGTTAGACACACAGTGTATAGTGCTGATGCAGGGAGAGGGGTCAACTGCCAGATGAGAAATGTCCAAAAGGCAAAGATCCCAGTAAAGTCAGAGGGCAATAGCAGTGAGACCTGGGGTAGGAGCAGAAGGTCTTAGTGGAGGGTGAGGAGCACATGCACAGTTAGCTTATATGTTTCAGAGGCACTGGAGTGAATGACAGAATTCAGACTCTGGGGTTAGGCAGACCTGGAAAGGCAGCCTGGTCTCCCTTGGGGTAGGTAACCTTGGAACACTTCAATTCCCTTATTGGTAGAATGGGATAAGAACAAGATAACATCTCTTCTATAGGGTTGTTAGACTTATAGAAGACAGTATACATTGTTAGCAGAGAGTAAGCTGGTAAGTTAATCAAGGATCCCTAGGTGCTTTATGAACACGGTTTCCTATAGTTCACTGATGTTTTATTAGGTTCAGAGTAGCCTTTAAAAAATACCATTATTTGAATTCCTTTAAAAATCACAAGCTCACTTTGCTAAGTCCCTACCACTAACTTTGCTTTATATGCAGCCTGCCTTACTCATTTATGTCACCTGCGTGGTGCTGTTGGACACCTGTATTTGTGAACCTTGACAGAGTTAGCAGCCG